ACCATGCAGCTGAGTCCCCTTGGTTTGGGGAATCACAGGGGTCAGCGCTCCGGGAGTGCAATGGACAAGCCTCTCCCCGGGGACCATGGTATCCCCCTTGTCAGGTGAGCATGGGAGGGGTTTCATTTTGCAGAGGGGGTGACAAGTCGATCAAAGTGGCGGGGAAATGACACACCAATCTGTGTCAGAGAGCAGGTCCTGGGCCTGTGGGGTTGGCCCGGCAGAAGGGAGCATGGCTGACCCAGCAGCCGGGATGCTCTGCGTAAGAGAGTGAAGTACTTACTTAGCTCAGGGACAGAAACGCAGAAGAGAGGGAGGAGAAATCCAGAGGGCTGCCACCAGACAACACCCCCACGCTTCGGTTCAGTGGGCTGTTGCCTGCCGGGGGGGGGGGGGGGGGGGGGGGGGGCGGGGGGGGGGGAGCCATTTCCATAGCAGCAGCATTCTCCAATGCTAAAGGTGGGAGCGGAGCAGCCCAGATGTCCATCAGGGATGAATGGATAAACACAATGTGTCCTTCCGCACGGAAAGGAGGGCAGCACTGGCACTCGCTACAATGTAGATGAACCAGGAACACATGATGCTCAGTGAGAAGTCAGGTACAAAAGGCCATACAGTGTGTGGTTCCACTCATTTAAAATGTCCAGAACAGGCAAATCCAGAGACAGAAAGTGAGTTAGTGGTTGTCAGGGGCTGAGGAGAAGATGGTGGGGAGGGAGGGGAAGGAAGAGGATGATTGCTGATGGGGACAGGGGACCTCATTGGGGGGATGGAATGTTATAAAATGAACTTCAGGGAGCCCTGGCCAGTGCGGCTCAGCTCACTGAGCATCATCCCATTCACCAAAGGTGGCCAGTTAGATTCCCAATGGGGCATCCAGGTTGCTGGCTCATCCCCAGTAGGGGGCATGCAGGAGGCAGCCAATAGATGTTTCCTTCTCTCTCTCTCTCTCTCTCTCTCTCTCTCTCTCTCTCTCTCTCCCTCCCTCCCTCCCTCCCTCCCTCCCTCCCTCCCTCCTCCCCCATTTCCTCTCTCTCTAAAACTCAATAAAAACACTTTTTTAAAAAAATAACAAAGGTACCATTTAAAAATAAAAATAAAATAAAATGGGTTTAGGAGGATGGTTGCATAACTTGATAACCTTACCAAAAAAATTAAACTATGTGCTTAAAATGACTGAGTTCTATGGTATGGAAATTGTACCTCAATTTCTTAAAAAGTAAAAAACAATGACTTTCCCCTCTGTAAGGTATTCAAGGAGAACCAGGAGCCACTTCTGGAAGAGACTCAGCGCTGCGCAAAGCCTCCTGCCCCCCCGCCGGCAGGACAACTGAGGGATTAGCTCGTCGACACTCCGCAGAGTGGTCAAGGAGGAGAAAGATGAGGAGACTGCCTGGGTCGTGTCACTCATCTTTGAGCTCCCATCAGGTCCCCACGTCTCCTGGGCGACAGAACACTTTCCTCTGGACCCTGAGGAGAGGGAGGCCACGCCAAAGGGCAGCACAAGGGAGAAGGGATGAAAACCGAGGTCCAGAACGATCCGATCAAACAGTGGGACCAGAGGAAAGCTCCCCAACATCACAGGGACCTGGGACTGCAGGAGCCATCCCTTTAGAGGACCCCAGGGACCCAGGCCAAGCCCTTAAAGGACCCAACCAAGGAGTGAGTGGGAGACAAAGCTTCAACAGCTACTGTGGTCAGTTCAGACACAAAGGAAGGGGAAGAATAAGTGTATCAATATCCAGCAATCACACAACAGTCCTGGGCACCTGCCTCCCTAAAAAAGCTCCCGAAAATTCCACCGACCCTTTTGTAAGAAATTATGTTAGAAATGACAACGGAGTTTCAAGAACATGAATGAGCTGGTAAATACGGTTTCAAAGACGATCGCTTGCTTACAGGTGCAAATGAGGAAACCTGTGATGACAGCTTGAACGGAAGAAGCTTTTTACACTACTACATGGCGGACCAGAACGGAAATGCCTCCGTTCAGTAAACAAGGAGCTGAGCTGTCTGTGTGTCAGGATGCTTCCCATTCAGTTGTCTTTCCCTCCAAACCACAGGGCCCAGGATTTACAATGGCATCGGTCACAGGATCTTTGCTGCTGAAGGCCCAGAATTTCCTGAGGAACTCAAGCTTCATGCTCTAGGAAGCAGACTGCACAGTCTGGCATCTTCCAATGACTGGAGTAGATGACTTAATTCCAGATTCAAAATCAGCCTCAGTGGTCAAAGGCCGCACCAAAGACCCGCCTAGAAAGAGGTCAGTGTTTCCAAAATTCTCTAAAAGCCGTGTGATTTCCCCCCGCCCCCTCTTAAAATGAGAACAGTGAATGATTTAGCAATAACCCCCAAATCTGGGCTGACCTTGCTAAGAATGTGGTTTTTAAAGGAGAAAACAACTTAGTTTTCTTTACAACTGGGGGGTCTCCCCTGGGGCAATGTCACTCCCAGGGACACGGAGTGCCATCTGGGGACATCCGTGGTTGTCATGACTAAGGGTGCTCCTGGCATCGTGTGGGTGGGGGCCAGGGATGCTGCTCAGCACCCCACAGCACCCAGGACCGCCCGAAAGGCAGCTGAGCCTGTGGAAGGACCCAGGTCTATGAGGGCAGATAATCGTGGCCCAACAGTTCCCTCCGGGACACACATCTGAGTGGGTCCTGAGGGCGACACCTACGTCAGGATGTCTCATCAGCCTTCTCTTAGGTAGACATGCTCGTTCCTTAACAAACCTCCAGAATCCCCTGGCCTCAGAGTCAAACAGATTCTTCTTTCCCTGGCGTTTCCCCCCTCGCTTTTAACAATGGGGACTTTTCTTCTTTTCCTTTTAGCAGACTTTTGTGTGAAAGCACAAGGAGTGATTCTTCTGTGCGCCCCACAAGGCTGAAGGACTGGAGTCAAGCTCTGATTCCTTCCCTCTTCCCTCCCTGACAACCCAGTTATTCTATCCACCCACCTTTCTCCCCTCCCCCCCAAACACCTTAATTTAGAACGTTATCATCGATGCTGCATGTAGCCTCGCCATGCGCCAGGAGTGTGCTAGGTGCTTGCATTCTCCCCTCTGACTTTGACTTCCCCCGCGGTCCTAGGAGGTGCCTGCTGCTGAGGTGCCACTCCTACCTCATGGAGTAAACGAGAACTCCCAGAGGCCAGCTGGCCAAGCCAGAGGCTGACGCACTGTTAACCTTAGGGGAGACCTCGGCATCTGAGAACAGCGCTTGTGAACTCCTTTGCCACGCTGACACCTAGCAGGAGTGGGGGCCCTCTTCCCCATTGCTCATCAAGCCTGTCTTCTCCCACCCACCTTCCGCCCCCTAGCAACCCCCGTTACCCAGGAATAATGAAGTGCCAACGTGCTGCCCACGCCCCTCAGTATCATTGTCCCCAAAGCTCCCACTTTGGTTCTTTGCTCCCGAGCCCCAAAATCCCTGAAGAATCCAGTCACCCACACCAGCTTTTTCTGCTTCCCAAGATGCTCTCCTATGCACCCTACATCCCAGACACACACCTCGCAGCACCTAACCCTCCCTTCTACACCAAATGATTAGCTTCCCCCTCCCCCCAAAAAAGAGGGGACCAATCCCTTCCACAGTCTGTATAACTGAGTTCCAACGAAGACCCCACCCAATGTCCTCCCGGCTAGTCAGCTACCCACAAAACACCTGCCATCCATCCCTCTATCCCACCATCACTGGGGCCCCACCTCCTTTCTCAACTCCCCATGCACTCCTAACGCCACATCCCTCTGACCCCTTCGAACCCTCTGACCCCTTCGAACCGGGGCTGACTCCACCTCCATCCCTCAGCCTTCTCTCCTTCTGCCCTCTGGCCCTTCCTGCTCACCCAAATCCCACATTCCTCCATCGTCACCCCTCCCGGACACCTCGACCCCCCAATTCCATCCTCAGCGCACTCCTCCTCGCCTAACCTCCACTCCAACTCCACTCCCGGCCCCTCCTCACATAACCTTCACCCTCAACTCGAACCCCGTCCTCTCCCCAGCTAGCCTCGACCCCCAGCCTCACCACCAATGCCCTCCCCAGCTGACCTCGACCCCCAGCCTCATCCCCAATGCCCTCCCCAGCTAACCCTAACCCCCAGCCTCCCCCCCATGCCCTCCCCAGCTAACCCTAACCCCCAGCCTCAACTCCAATGCCCTCCCCAGCTAACCCTAACCCCCAGCCTCCCCCCCATGCCCTCCCCAGCTAACCCTAACCCCCAGCCTCCCCCCCATGCCCTCCCCAGCTAACCCTAACCCCCAGCCTCCACCCAATGCCCTCCCCAGCTAACCCTAACCCCCAGCCTCCCCCCCATGCCCTCCCCAGCTAACCCTAACCCCCAGCCTCACCTCCAATGCCCTCCCCAGCTAACCCTAACCCCCAGCCTCCCCCCCATGCCCTCCCCAGCTAACCCTAACCCCCAGCCTCTCCCCAATGCCCTCCCCAGCTAACCCTAACTCCCAGCCTCCCCCCCATGCCCTCCCCAGCTAACCCTAACTCCCAGCCTCCCCCCAATGCCCTCCCCAGCTAACTTTGACCCCCAGCTTCCCCCCCAATGCCCTTCCCAGCTAACCCTAACCCCAGCCTCACCCCCAATGCCCTCCCCAGTTAACCCTAACCCCCAGCCTCACTCCCAATGCCCTCCCCAGCTAACCCTAACCCCAGCCTCACTCCCAATGCCCTCCCCAGCTAATCTCGACCCGAAACCTCACCCCCATGCCCTCCCCAGCTAACCCGGACCTCAACTTCAGTCACCTCCTCAGCTGACCTCGACACCCCCAGGCCCAGCCCACATCCCCAACTCCAGTCCCGCAGCGCCCTCCTCAGCAGACAGCGACCCCCAAGCCCGCAGCCCACGGGAGCCCTCTCTGCGCCCCCACCCCCGCCCCACATACACACACACCCCGGGCTGCCAAGCCTCCCCGCCCTGGCCGCCTCCCAGCGGCGGAGAGGAGGGCGGCGGACCTCATCCGGGACCACGACCGCACACGTCCTTACCTGCGCTCCGGCCGCCGCGGCCGCCTTAGCCCCACTGCGCAGCCGAACCTGCCGCCAGGAGCGCCAGCGCTCGTTCCCCTCTGGGGGCGGGGCCGGCGCTCTGGGGGCGGGGCCGGAGAGCGGGGGGCGGGGCCGGCGGCCCTCGCAGCCAATCGTGGGCCCCGGCGGCGGGAGGCCGGCCCAGGGCGGGGCGCGGGGCGAGCAGCGGAGTAGGCTGCGCGCAGGGAGGGGGCGGGGCTCCGGGCGTGAGCCGGGCCTGGAGTCGGAGCGCTGAGTGGCACCGTGGCCGGCCACCCGAGAGCGGGCACCGCGCGGGAGGGGCGGGGCTATGCTAATAAGCAAATAAAACACCGTGTGGGACTCGGGCCGGGCTGCACGCGGGTTTCCAGAGGCAACTTACTTGGTGACGCCAAGGAGGGGGTGGCTTTTCGCGAGTTCGAATCCCGAGTGGGGGCTCGAGGTCGAATTCCAAATCCTAGATGTTGGGGCTCGCTTGCGGAGCGGGAAGAACGTCCCCTCGTGATCAGTTGCGTGGCCTACCGGACACTAAAAATAAATGCTCCCTTTTGTTGTACCCTCTGCATAAGGCTAGAGGAGAAATGATTTAAAAATCCCCATTTTACAGAGGTGGAAATTGAGTCTCAGGTTTAACCTAAGTTCATTCGCCCAAGCCTGTCTCATAATTTCCAGGATTTCTCAATTTCCTATGGCTTCCTTCCTTATAGAATGATCCAGAATCCTGGGGGACCTGGACCCCTGGGGTGTGCATTTTTAACATACTCCCCTGGTGATGTTGGAAAACATTTAGGATGTCTCCAAAAGCATCCAGAGTTCGTGGAGGGAAGAGTTTTTTACACAGGAGGAGGCAGCCACCATATTCTGGTCTTGAGGAACTTGGTGTAACACTGCGGTTCTGTGATCTGAGAGCTGCCGGCCTCCCAGCTGGGAGCCCCAGGGCTCCTATCATCCCTGTAGGAACCTCCCCTGCAGCGCACAGAGAGAACTAAGTACCTGTGGGGCCATCTCACTCCCCCGCCTGCTTATCCTCAGAGGAATTACTAGCTGAACTAAAGTCGCAAACTAATGGCTCCCCAGGCTTACTGTCTGAACAGGGTCTCAAGCTCACATGGTCCCTGGGTGAGATGTAGTCCAAACAGCCTTTAAAAATTCTAAATCCGCCGAAACCGGTTTGGCTCAATGGATAGAGCGTCGGCTTGGGGACTAAAGGGTCCCGGGTTCGATTCCGGTCAAGGGCATGTACCTTGGTTGCAGGCATATCCCCAGTAGGGGGTGTGCAAGAGGCAGCTGATCAATGACTCTCTCTCTCATCTATGTTTCTAACTCTCTATCTCTCTCCCTTCCTCTCTGTACAAAATCAATAAAATATATTTTTTTAAAAAAATTCTAAATTCGCTGAAACCGGTTTGGCTCAGTGGATAGAGCGTCGGCCTGAAAGGTCCCAGGTTTGATTCTAGTCAAGGGCATGTACCTTGGTTGTAGGCTGATCATTGATGTTTCTAACTCTCTCTTCCTCTCTGTAAAAAAACAATAAAAAATATATTTTAAAAAAAAAAAAAACCTCTAAATTCATTGCCACTTAAAAATCAGACGATTTCTTTTGATGTTGTAAATACACTTTTTAAAAGATGAATTGTTTAAATGCTATGGCACCTGACTTGTAAAAAGAAAGAAAGAAAGAAAGAAAGAAAGAAAGAAAGAAAGAAGGAAAGAAAGAAAGACTACAAAAAAAATCATTAAATTGTGTCCCTGTTACCAAAAAAAAAAACAAATCAGGCAATTCACAAAAAGAAATCCAGATTTCCAGGTGCTTTTGAAAAATCACAAGGTCTGGTGATCCCTGCAGCAGCTATCGATAGGTGCACAGCTTCAGGCAGGGCCAGGACTGGGGTGAGACAAGTGAAGCATTTTCTCAAATTCCTTGCCATCAAAGGATATATTTTTATACATTAATGATATTTTTTTAAATTTCAAATTACCGTATTTTTCGGACCATAAGACGCACTTTTTTCCCCCCAGAAGTGGGGGGGAAAAGTCCCTGTGTCTTATGGTCCAAATATAGCCTACACATATACTTTAAAAAAAAAGTTTTTTTACTTGCCCGGCTCTGTGTGGTCTCTGTGTGCTTGCCTGGCTCTAAAATGGTTATAAATGCTGCTGTTTACTTTACAGGGTTGATTACATGTGTTTATGACTGTGATGTTGGGTTTTAATGCACATAAAATATTTTAGGACACTATTTGTTTCAGAATCTTTTTTTCTTCATTTCCCTTCTCTAAAAACTGGTGCGTCTTATGGTCCGGGGCGTCTTAAGGTCCGAAAAATACGGTAAGTACCAAAATAATCCTGGATGAACAAAAATACTGTACCAAATTTTTCAAGAAAGATAAAATACGCTTCTGCACTTGTGCAAACCATCGTCCTTGCCTTTCCTTAGCCCGGGCGCTGTCAGGTCCTATCCTCACCTAAAAGATGAATGCTTTGTTTACCACAGCTTCCTTTGCATTAAATAGTGCATTAAGGCTGGCCGGGGTGGGCTCAGTGGTTGAGGATTGACCCATGAATCAAGTGGTCACCGGTTCGGGGAACATGCCTGGTTGTGGGCTCAATCTCCAGAGAGGGGGCGTGCAGGAGGCAGTCAATCAATGACTCTCTCTCATCATTGGTATTTCTATTTCTCTATTCCTCTTTCCTCCTCTCTAAAATCAGTAAATATATATATATATATATATATATATATATATATATATATATATATATATATTTAAAAATATATATGTTTCTTGATGGCTGAGATTTTTGGCAAGCCCCCTCCCCTTAAATTTTGCAGTTGAGTATCACACTGCTCACCTAGTCCTGGCCCTGCTTGTAAGTTTGTAAACAGCTCTGAGCCTTTTAGCAAATGGAAAATCCAAAGCCCAGTGGGTTCCTCTCCGGGTAAGATGGGGCTCTTAATGCCTGCCTGTTCCCCTCAACTGATTGAAATAAGTGTGGTGGTGTCAGGGCTTGTGTGGTCTCCACAGTGTTCCCATGACATCCCAGTGCCCTTGTCATCAAGGCCCAGGCTCTTCCCACAGCACACTGGGCCCTGTGTGACCCTGCTTACCTCTCTGAGCTCCTTGGCTACCACCCTTCCTTCACTCCTCTCCTGCCACTCTGGCCTTCATTGGTTCCTGCCTCAGGGCCTTTGCACATGCTGTTCTCCCAGCCTGGTGCCCTATCCCAGGCCATTCTCTTCGGGCTGCCCTCTACTTCACCTTCATGTGTCAGCTCAGTGTCACCTCCTGAGTCAGCTTAGCCTCCGGTCCCCATGTCACTGTTGGAGTCCAGGTTTCCCTTCCTCCCAGCATGTACCCGTGTTTCCCCGAAAATAAGACCTACTTACAGGTTTCCTTCTGAGTGAAATAGAAGGCATCCCCCCGAAAATAAGGCCCCCCTAGGCTCTGTCTCAGAATGCTATTGCTAAACATGAGCGATTTGGTCCACTGATTCTGAAAGAAATGGAGTCACAAGAAATTCACCAGGAAATTCAGGAATTGGATTGTTATGATGATGTTCCAGAAGATGATGACATGATTGTCACTGAATAAATGAGTAAATTCTTGATACTATAGGATTCACAGTTTGTCTGGTTTGTGTTGACAACTACCGTACTACCGTATCATATACAGGTAATAAATTTCCTTTATTTTCATTTAACAATAAATGTGTACCGTATTCTTTTTCATGGAAAAAGAAGATATCTCCTGAAAATAAGACCTAGTGCATCTTTGGGAGCAAAAATTAATATAAGACACTGTCTATTTTCAGAGAAACAGGCTATTTGAAATGACCCGTCTCAGTTCTTCGGTGTGTGCATGGGGGATGTCCTCTCCTCCAGGTGGTTATAAGCTCTGAGAGGGCAGGGGCTCTGGGGTTTCAGTTAATCATTGTTTTGTGTCCAATATCCAGGAAAGGCCAAAACCGGTTTGGCTCAATGGATAGAGCGTCGGCTTGGGGACTGAAAGGTCCCGGGTTCGATTCCGGTCAAGGGCATGTACCTTGGTTGCAGGCATATCCCCAGTAGGGGGTGTGCAAGAGGCAGCTGATCGATGACTCTCTCTCATCTATGTTTCTAACTCTCTATCTCTCTCCCTTCCTCTCTGTACAAAAATCGATAAAATATATATTTTTTAAAAAAAAATATCCAGGAAAGGGCCAGGCCTATTACATATTGGATGGATGAATGAATGAGTGAACAAATGAATGGATGGATGGTGTCTCTCCCTGAATAGACTTTACCTCTTCCCGCGGAGACACCTGCCTGGCCTAGTCTGAATGGGTGGGAAGGAGGCTGAGAAGTCACATGGGGCAGGTGCAGGGGGTGAGGAGGAGGGCAGTTCCTCCCTGCTCAGTCCTCCCTACCCGGGCATCTGCAAGCACCCCTACTCACCTGCTCTGTGAGCCCTGCAGCGGGGTTGCCCACGTTCTCAGGAAGTCCAGGGAAGGTGTCCCAGCTAACGTGCGCAGAGGAGCCTGGGCCAGAGCTACACGGGGCCAGTGTTCTCCAAGCCCAGGCGGAAGCCCTGGGCCAGATTGCTCCTGCCTCTCCTTCCTTCCTCCCGGCCCTCTCCGCCTGTCACATCCCCTCTCTCTCTTCCCTCCACCCACCGGCTCTCACTGCCCACCTCTCAGCCCCTCCCTTCCTCATCCCCATACTTACCCCGTCCCTCACCCCTTCCATCCCTCACCTCCCCATCCTTATGTCCTCATCTTTTACAGATGGCCAGCTGACCCCCCCAAAGAAGGACCACGGGTGGGAATGTAGGATCCACTTCTTTATTGCAGGAAAGACTATTTCTAGAGCGAATACTACACAGACCCCACAATGGGGGTGGGGGTACACATGCAGGGGGAGAACGGGCAGAAACAGGATTACAGCAAGCATGGCCTGGCATGGTCCCCAGACTCAAGGACACCCAGGCAGGACAGGCCGATAGCCTGGGCAGGCTCTGCCCCTCCTGCCGCAGAGCCTCTCAGACCCCAGGGGCAGGGCAGGGCCTGAGGCAGGAGAAGCCTGGAGGGGCGGGGCCCCAGGGAGATTGTGCTATCAGGGTGTGTCCCTGAGAAAGGGCCGCAGACCCAGTGCCCAGCCTCACCCACTCAGGCACCTTCAAGGCCCAGGAACCACTCCTGGGGCAGAGGAGGGAGCAACACCAGCTGTTGGTGGGCCCTGGACCTACCACAGGATAAGGAGACTCAGCTGTGATCAGACAGAATGCCACCAATTCTTCCGTGGGCTCATCCATGTGCCTGGCAGTCACAGGTGTGTGCTTGCACACACACACACACACACACACACACACACACACACACGCACACGCACATACACACTCCCTCTCTCTCATAGTGTGTCCCATAGCATTTTGGAGTAAGCAGTCACGTGAACAATAAACACTCTTTCATTAAGTTGGACACAAACAGTCTCTCAATAGTCCTATGTGGTCTCTCTCTCTCTCTCTCTCTCTCTCTCTCTCTCTCTCTCTCTCACACACAGTTCAGTCTCAGAGTGCACACAAGCACACAAGCATACACACATACAGCTTTCTGGCACCCAATGCTGCAAGAGGCCCAGGGAGATGCCCGTGGGGCAAGAACATGAGGGCAACTCCCGTCAACAGCCAGTGAGCAGCTGAGGTGCTGGGTCCTGCAGCTGCAGGGAACTGCCAGCTGCAGAGGAGCATGGAGCTGGGAGCGGGTGCTTCCCAGGCAGGCCTCCAGAGGAGACTGAGGCCTGCGCAGCTCTCTGATCTAGCCTCAGAAGACCCCGAACAGAAGGCCCAGCTAAGCCAGGCCTGGGAGATGATAAATGTGTATAGTTTCAAGTTGCTGAGTTTGTGGTCATTTGTTATGTAGAAGTAGCTGACTGATACAGGTGTTTTTTTTGTTTGTTTTTTTAGCTGAGAGTCACCTTGCTATAGCGTAAGACACAGTGAGAACAAGACAGGTTCACAGATTCTCCCCAATAAATCACGTCACTCAGTCCCGAAAACACAGGCACTTACAGCCACACTCATGCTGTTACATCACAAATACCCTGACCTGTAAACAACGCCACCACCCGCTCCTATGTTATTAAATATACAGACTGCCACATGCACGTTCCACCCCAGTGAGAGGCACACACACACACAGACACACAGGCACACACAGACACACAGGCACACACAGACACATATATAGACACCTTGGCCCCTACACAGCAATTTGCACAAATGCACCATCCCATGGTCACTCCCCAACCCTAGCCTGTCATCGTCAGACACAGTCCCAAGAGTGTGGAGATACCTAGACTCGTACACCAAAACGCTCAGAATCTCACGGTTGCAGAGACACCCCAACTGCAAGACACAAGCCTTCCTGGGGTCCCCCTCTCCGGGGTACAGGTGGTGGGAGGAAGTGGGCTAGGCAGGGTTCTGCCTTACCCCTCTGGACAGAGCCCTAGGCACCCACCCAGCATCCCAGACCCCTGCCTAGGGCTCAGTGGTGATGCGCTGTGCCAATCTCTGTAGGCCGTGTCCAGAAAAGCCCCCCCATTTTTACACCTGGCAGTCCCCGAGTTGTGCTGTGGCCATCAGCCAGTCCTGGGCCTCCCTTGCCTGCACCCCAGGCCCAGGCTGGGAGAGGAGTGGGGTTCTGGGCTGGCAGGGCACGGCCACAAGCCCTGTGGTTATTGCCTGATGGCCTGAGGTCCATCCTGCAAGCCACTCCCCCCCAACTGTGGAGAGAGACATGGTCAAGGACCTGGGACAGGGAGCACAGGCCAGAGGTCATGAAGGACGGAGGTGGGGAGTAGGAGTGTATGTTAAACACCAAGTAGGAGAAAACAAAATGTAAGGTTCCTGTGCATTTCCACTTGTCCCTCCCAGCAAGGTCACAGTGATCTAATGGGTAGGGCGGCACAGGTCTGGCTGGGGGCACCCAAAGGAAAGGACCAGAAATGGGGGTCCTGGGAGGAACAGAGACAGGCAGAGGTGGGAAAATCCAGTGTCCTCGGTCCCCACAGGGACAGACAGCTTCCCCACTTTCCCATGTGCCGATCAAGGGGGCCATTTCTAGCACTTGGCTTTGGGGGGTCACAGACAGGAGTGGGGGCAGAGAGACAGAGCAGAAGGCAGAAGGACGGAGCCCCAGACCTGCAGGGCTCACCAGGGCCTCAGTGTCCCCATCGGGGATGTTGGCTGATGGCAGAGAAGTGGACGTGAAAAGGAGAGAGAGGAAGGGAATTAGGAAGATGGGGAGAGAGGAGAAGGCAGTGGCTGCAGGATGGTGTGGGGGTGGCGTGGGGCCGGAACAGGGGCCAGGACAGGGGCTGTCTGCAGGGGGGCATCCCAGGCTCACATGAGGACACATTTGCCCTTGATGCGGTCTGTCCTCTTCTGTTTGCTGGAGCGCTTTCCGTCGATGTTGAGGCTCATGTTCCGGCGTGTCTCCAGCGTGAGCAGCTCCTGGAAGAGCTCCTTGACATTGTAGTTCATCTTGGCCGACGTCTCCATGAAGGCGCACTTCCACTGCTGGGCCACCGCCTGGGCCTCACGGGTGTCCACCTCTCGCTGCGTCTCATCGCACTTGTTGCCCACCAGCATGACCGGGATGTCCTCCACGCTGCCCTTGATCTGCACGATGAGCTGGTAGATGGGCCCCAGCTCCTCCAGCGACTGCTTGCTGGTGACGGAGAAGACCAGGATGAAGGCGTGGCCCTTGGAGATGGACAGCCGCTGCATGGCCGGGAACTGGTGGCTGCCGGTGGTGTCGGTGATCTGCAGCGTGCACACGCTCTTGTCGCAGCTGATCACCTGCCGGTAGGTGTCCTCGATGGTGGGGATGTAGGTGTCTCGAAATGTGCCCTTCACGAAGCGCAGCACCAGCGAGCTCTTGCCCACGCCGCCCGCACCAAACACCACCACCCGGTAGTCATTGCTCTGCTCAGGCATCTTCCGCGCCGGGGGTGGAGGTCGGAGCCAGGAGGGCTCCTGCCAGCTGCCAATACCCCAGGCCGACCCTGTACAGAGAGGAGTGGCAGATGCAAAAGGCCACCTGGCCTGGAGGGAACAGCTCTAGGCCTGGGGGCAGGAGGGAAGGCTTCTCAGAGGAGGCGGCCTTTCTCCTGTGTCCTGGGAAGGCCCTTCTGGTTGGGTTAGCTGACTTTGCAATTCTGCCCTGCGCGCAGGCTCAGAGCCAGCCCCCTCTTCTGCTCTTCCCCTCAACAGAAGCTGGGGCCTAAGCTACTTCCCAGGGGACTCTGGGCTGGAAGGGAAGTGAAGGTGACTCCTTGTCCCACATGCATGCTCCCCCAGCCACTCATCCTGGCTGCATGGGCTTTTCCCTCTCAGCTTAGCCGTGGGCTCCTGCAAGCCAGCAGGCCTGGATGTGTGACCTGGGCAATCTGCTAAGCCTCAGTTTCCCCCTCTGCAAAGTGGCTGACGTGGTGCCCCTCTCCAAAAATCGCAGGCTCCCTGCTCTCCCATCAGCCCAGAGGCTCCTCAACCTTGTGGGACATCTTTCAAATGCAGCTTGCAGGGCCTCAGCCCTGGAAATGATGAATCAGTTGGCCAGGGCCATGACCCTGGGCACCCGCATCTTAAAGCCGTTCTCCTGCCCTCATGCCATAAGCTTGATCCTAATGCTGGAGGCTCCAGAATCCCAATGTGCAAATCAGGACACCGATTGCCCTATAGCAGCCCCAAAAGGCAGGGATGCACATCCAGACGGGGGATGAGAAAATTAAAACCGAGGCCAAAGAGAGAAAATACCTGCTCCCTAAACTCTGCACCCAGGCTATGGTCTGCCCGCTGTGGCCTCCCATTCAGGCCCAATACATCCATATCCACAGGCACAAAGCTCCCAGAAGGGGGTCCTCTTATCATCCCTCCCTCTCCTGAGCTCAGAGAGGCCCATTAGCCTTGGGAAGTCACAACCCCGAATTCCTGCAGCGATGGAGGCGGAGGAGCCCTAGAACGGGGATGGCAGACAGGAGGCCTGGCTCAGCATCTGTATCCTTCTTTATAAAGAGCAGGAGAGACCCCATCCCTTCCTCCTTCCTCCCTTCAGCCAAGTTACTTTCCCTAGAGGTGTGTGTGTGTGTGTGTGTGTGTGTGTGTGTGTGTGCGCGCGCGTGCGCGCGCGCACAAGGCCCGATGATGTGAGCCTGATGGCAGGAATGTGGGCAGGTAACTTGGTGTCTCTGAGCCTCAGTTTTCTCCGTGAAACTCAGTGCCCATTCCCCAGAGTTGCAGGGAAGAGGGTGTGATAAGCTGGAGAAAGCCCTTATGCAAGTGCTTGGCACAAGGAAACCCTCGATAAGGGTGGATGGTCAGGATTATTGATCGCAGGAGCTCAGAGTGTGAAGCACTTGGCCTGTAGTGGGCTAGGAAGGCAGGCAAGTTCTGAATGACCAAAAAGTACCAGGTTTGTCAGAAAAACTAATAGCCGGCACATACTCCATAAATTCTGTGCCAGCCAAACTTCCAGGAGCTTTAGCAGTACCAACTCATGACTGGCTGCTAGGCATGCTGGTGACGTGGCGACATGCATGGCAGAGCTCCACACGAGAGGACACTCGGTGGGGGGCTGGCAAGGGGTGCCAGCCAGCTCTGCAGACACTGCTCTTTCTGGATGGGTACACAGTGTGCAGCCAGGCACCACCACAACTGGCCTGGGGACCTGGTGTGGCCAGTGACAATCGGTTCTGCTGCCCCGCACCCAGCCCCAGCTTTGCCCTGGGTGCAGACCCCCTGGCAGGGGTGCAGGCCAGTCAGTAAGGTATCTCCAGGAGAGGCCCCTCTGGGGCCTGGGATCTCTGAATAGGACCTCCTCTTCCCCCCACCCCCAATTTGATCACCTCTAGTCCATGCCAGGCATTCATTTGAAAACCACCTTCACCTCCTGCGGGGCAGGAGTGGGGGAGGGGTCTCAGGCAATGAGGATTGGAGGGGGAGGCACTGGCTCAAGGTCACAGAGCAGGGAGGGGGCAGAGCAGAGCAGGATTTGAACTGGCCCTGGGTGGCCTGACAGCTGGGAGTCCCCCTCCCATGCAAAGCAACCCACCCTGAGACTCCCCAGGAGGGAATCAGCCCAGCCCTAGGTCCCCAGAGCCCAATGGGGGAAGATGCAGCAACCTTACATGCAAGAAAGCAGGCTGGACCCCGGGGAGGGCCTGGGGGAGGTACTTGCCTAAATTGGGGGTAGGGGGTGGGGCCAGGGGTCTAACCAGGGACTTTGGGGAGGCTTGGTGGGAGAGGGCCTGCTCTAGGGCGCTGAGAGAGGAGAGACACACTCAGGGGGGGTGAGGGGGGCAGCCCGGGGGCTCCCCTTGGCCAGAGGAGGATCTAAGTAGGAAGGGAGGGAGCCAGACCAGTGAAGGCTCCTGAGTGAGGGGCTTGACTGGGTGGAGAGGACCAGAGGGCTAGTCGGGCATTGGTGGGGGGAGACAGGCCCAGGGCCCAAGGGGCTCCCCGTGGAGGGGTCCTGGCTGAGTGGGACGGCCAACCCAGACAGAGGGTCTGGGGAGGGCTGGAGAGGGGCTGGCTCGGCCGCGGGGGAGCCCTGTGGGTATGGTGGGGGCAGGGAGGACGCGGAGGGGAGCTGTCCAAGGTGGGAGCGCAGGGCGGCCCGGCCAGGGCACAGTGGACAGGGAGAGGTTCCGGTTCTGGGCCGCCGGGAGGAGGGCCCGGCCCCTCAGGCCGGCCGCGAGGGTGGGGCTCGGACAAAGGAGATGCGCGCAGGGAAGGGCCCCGCGGGCAGGCGAGTGGGATGCAGCAGGCCCACGCCCCGGCCCCCCGGCCCGGCCCGGCCCGGCCGCCTACCTGGGCGCTGGTCCCTGGGGCGCCGCCGCCGCTGCTGCTGGCCGGCTCCGTGTCCGCTCCCGCGCCGCCGCCCCCCGCGTGCCCGCCGCTGCTGCCGCCGCCCGCCCGCCCGAGCCGCCGCCGCCGTGCCCGCGCCGTCCCCGCCCGCCCGCCGGGCGCCGCGCTCCGCCCCTCCCCGGGGACCCGCGCCCCCGGCCAAGGTCACCACCGCCCTGCGCCCCCGCGCCCGCGCGCGCAGCCCAGCCCAGACCCCACCCCGCGCCCCCAGCACCGGACCCCACCCTGCGCCCCCAGCCCTGGACCCCAGCTCGCTCCCCCTCCTCCCCGCCAAGCCCCCAGAGCGTGCAGCCCCGCCCGGACTCCCTCCCGCGCACACCCGGGAAAGCGTTAGGATGCCAGGATGCCAGGGTGCAAAGCAGGTGGGGTCTGCTGCTTCTGGACCCCTGAGTGGGAGCGGGCGCGCTCAGGGTCACTCGGAAAACCAGGTCCTGGGCATGGAGGGGAGAGGGTGGAAGTCACCCCGGAGACAAAAGGAAAGGGCCACTGGCAGAACTGTGTAAGGGGCACGCCCTGGGGACGGTGGGGGTCCTGGTGCAGCCCAGGGACCGGCTCCAGAAAAGGTACTTTGGTGGGATAAATAAATAATCAATCAACTAATAAATACTATATAGTTTCATTAACCAATGTTGTCCCATAAATTCAACAAAAATTTAAAAGAAAAACAATAAATAGCCCGGCCAGTTTGGCTCAGTGGATAGAGCGTTGGCCTGCAAACTGAAAGATCCCAGGTTTGATTCCAGTGAAAGGCACGAGCCCAGGTTGTGGGCTCCATCCCCATTGGAGGGCTTGCAAGAGGCAGCCAATCCATGATTCTCTCTCATCGTGGATGTTTCTCTCTCTTTCCCTCTCCTTTCCTCTCTGAAATCAATAAAAAATATTAAATCAACAACAACAATAAATAGATGTGTGAGAAGATAGAAGGAGCCCCAGAGGGCTTGGGGCAATGGGGTGTACTGGAAACCAATCCCCCACTGCAGGGGTTTGTTGGAGGAGGAGACAGAAAGGAAGTGAAGAGGACCTCCACCTGGGATGGTAACTAAGGGCAACCCACCAGGGCGGGAGAATGGCAGGTGGGCCCTTGATGGATCTGCTGGAGCCATTTGAAGGTGGAAAGTGAACAAAGGGGCTTCAGGGGAATGGATTGTTTTTTGGTTTTCTAGTATGAAAATATCTTCCTCCAAGATGTAACTGAGAATAAACGTGCGTCTTTCAGAAGTGTCCCTGCATTTGACATGACTGTGTGCCCGTTTAAGCTCACAGGATGCCATCAGCCCTGCCTTCCTGAAGACCCACCAGGAGGAGCAGAGGCTCATCTCAGAGGAGACCAGACCTTGGAGGGCAGCGGCCAGGCCAGGGTGGGTGTGAGGCAGCCCCGAGTACCAGGCCTGTTAAAGGAAGGGGGCCCTCGATGGGGAGGCGGACACCAGGGTCCCACAAGGAGCGGTTTTCTGGGGTCAGATCAGCTGGAAGATGCAAGAGGCTCTTTGGTAGGTGGTGAGCTCCCCACCATGTGGTGTGTGAGCAGATGGTCAGCTGAAGCCAAAGAGTCCCTCTGGTTCTTGGTTCCTTGATTCTTGCTGACCCACTGTTTCTGTGGCTCTGGCTCAGGCAGACTCTTCTGGGCTTGAAGGGCCCCATTTCTCCAGACTCGACTTCTCCACTGCGTCCCCAGCCTCTCCAACCTGGACAGTCTCACCAGCTTCCTTTCTGGCTCCCCAGGGTCACCCAGCAGCCTTCTTCCATCCTGGCATTCAACCCCCAGCCTTCAACACAAGCCTCGCCTCCTCCAACGCCGGTCCTATCTCCCTTTGCCTCCGTGTCCAGGTCCAGCTTCTCTGCCTGGCATTCAGGTGTCTTCATGAATAAAGTCCTCATCGTTTCCCATCCCCTCCCAGCCCTGCACACCTCCCTTCTGTCCTGTCCTCCCCCCTGTGGGGTGCCTCAGAGGGTGGACTGGCCCCACCCTTCATCTCAGAATGCTGTCAGCCAGATATGGAGGCAGCCCGGTGGGCAGACAGATGCTGACTTCTGGTCTGAATCACCACGTCCCAGCCAAGTGCCCCTCTGAGTCTTAGCTTCCCCATCTGTGAACAAGGATCACTGCTGTCCGGCCTCTCAGAGTTTGGGGAGCAATTGGGATGATCCACATGGGGCTACGGGGCACACAGGGGCTGAATCAGTAGCCCAGCTCCCTACCACACTAACGGCCTGCCTGCCTTCATCTCCTGAGTGACCGGCTGGTGCTGGGCTGGGCCTCTGGCCTCCGGCCGATTTCTAGCTCCTGCAGGCGTCATCCCAGGCTGGGACAGGCTGACTCATACACAGGATCGTGGGCACAGCAGCAGTGCCACTCTGCAGATGCTATTTATAGCTCTCAGGCCAGGCTTTCAGCCTCCAGTGCCAGGGAGGACAGGCCCGAGAGTCCCCTCCTCATTCTCCCTAGGGCACCGAGGCCACTCCCCACCCCAGCACCCAAAACTAGGACGGAAGTACCCCCTCCCCTGTGGCCAGCCAGGACAGCTCAACTCCCAGCCTTCAACATAGGCCGTGAGCATAGAGGTGTGTATGGGGGAGTCACCAGCTGTGCCCCCTCTGGTACATGAGGTGCAGAGAAGGCAATCAGCTCACCGACTCACCAGAGGTGGCCCAGCTGGGAAGAGGCTGGACTGCGGCTGCAACTTCATTGGGCTCTGAAGCCACAACCCAGCCTTCTGGCTTTCTGGGTCCCGGCTCAGGGTCGGGCACCTGGCCTTCCGTTGTCCATGTCCTGCAGAAGTCCTCTCAGCTGCAAAGGACAGATGTTCACCTACACCCGTGGTCGGCAAACTGCATCTCGCAAGCCACATGCGGCTCTTTGGTCCCTTTAGTGTGGCTCTTCCACAAAATACCATGGCCTGGGCGAGTCTATTTTGAAGAAGTGGCTTTACTAGTTTAAGTTTAAAAAAATTTGACTCTCAAAAGAAATTTCAGTCGTTGTACTGTTGATATTTGGCTCTGCTGACTAATGAGTTTGCCGACCACTGACCTACACAGTCCCAGTTCGCTTGCCCTTGCAATCCATGGGTCCTCTCCCTGCCTCAGTGCTCCAGGCAGGGGCCAACCTACCTCATTTACCCCTCGACACCCCCGCTTTCTACCCCCCTCCCCCTGCTCCGCTCCACTCCAGCCCAGCATAGCTGCCTGTGTGAGAGGCAGCTGGGTAGAATTCTCTGCTCTCAGCTCACACTCCAGGACTAATGCAATCATGCAGGCAAAGCGGAGGCTGAGCTTCACGATGGCCTCTCCGATGCAGTTTGGCCCATCAAGGTTTCCATTTGTGTTTAAGTTTGGTGTCAGCATTTTAAAATAAGGAGATTGCCAAAAACCAGTTTGGAAAAACGAATGGGCTGGCATCCATGAGCCTGAATTCTGCTGGTCAGCATGTGCAGGAGCTGGACCCCAACCCAGGGTGGCAGATGCTGGGTCCTGATGAAAGCCACCTGCCTGGCCCCTGCTGGGAAAGCTTCCGTCTTGTGACTCACACTTAGCCCTCACAGACTTCCTCCCTCACCAGGTTGCTAAAATTGACCCTGCTAAAATTGTCCCCGCCTCCCTTCACCTTGCTTTTTTTCTTTAGGGCTCTTATTGCTCCCCGATATTGATCACATGTTGGTGTAACATGCCTGCCTCCCTAGAATGTGAGCTGCCTTCCCTGAGCTGGATCTCTCCCGGGCAATCCTGTCCCCAGGGGACACTGGGCAGTCTGGGGACATCTGGATTATCACACTGGGGGTGCTCCTCGCACCACGAAGGTGGGGTCCAGGGATGCTGCTCAATACCCATGTTCAGACAGCCCTCCACAGTGAATGACTTGGCACCCCAGTATTGAGGGAAGACCCTGCTGAGGCAGCCAGCTTGTTGGGCACAAGGGGCTCAGCCGGTCATTCATCGGAGAGGACCTGTCAACCATGGTGGCTGTGTCCTTTTCTCAAAGCGCAGTGCCTCAGCAGTGTCTCCCATGCACCCAAAATCCAGGGCTCTGAACCTGCCACACCTGGTTCTCTCCTGCCGGGCTGGGCATGCAGCAATCACTTCAGCCCTCAGCCAGAACACCAAGGCCTGCCAGGTCAACTGTTCTTGCCCAGGCAGTTGTGGAAGCCTGGAGGGTGGCAGGGATGAGGGGGTATCCCTGCTCCAATCTAATTTGGCCAAAGCACCCTGACACCCCAGAGAAGGGTTTTAGGGTCTTCGCAGAACCACTCACACACCCTGCAGCAGCTCCCCTCTGCCCTTGGGATTCCCAGTCACTTCCCCACCCGCAGGTGGTTCTGGGAAGGTCAGATTGGAGGGTCCCTGGCTATGTCCTGAAGCTGGTAGTTAGCTCAGAGAGGGCCCAGGCTGGGTAGCTGGGTGCACGCCTCTCTCCTATTGCTGGCCAGAGCAGGTCTGAAGGTACTGTGTGCTGGGAAACACCATCCCGTTAGTTGCCTGCATTGGGGGCCCTAAAGAGGCAGACAGGCCCATGAATGGGTGCTCTTTCTTCTCCGCCCTGTGATAATAACTTCTGCACAAGAAACACAAACAGCAGACAACAGAAGCCCCGACACACTGTTATTATGGTTGATTTAATCTGTGAGGTCTAGATGCTGCCTTCTAATTTGCTTCTCTTTTGTCTCTAGATCAAGCAGGGGAACCCAGTTGTCTCCATCCAGCTGTTGCCGGTGCTGTGAGCCCGTGTGGGCAGACTTGGCTGGATCACACTCTGGGGTGAAGCTGTACTGGGCAGTGTAGGGTGCTGAGCAGCATCCCTGCCCCCCAGTCCCTACTTAATGCCAGCAGCATCCTTCTGTGATGACCCATGTGCCCACACATGGCCCAGAGTACCTGGGGGCAGAACCACCTAGATTGAAATCCAGAGTTCACTGAGACCGCTGAGGAGGAATCTGTGTCCAGGGCCACGTGACGTCCCCTTGATGTCAAAAGTTGCAGAAATGGATGAAGCCTTTTGGGGCCAATGTCCTGTTCTGTGTTAAGTGCTGGTCCAGGGCCTCAGGTGATAACCAACCTGCGGTCTTATTGAAGCCAAAGCTCCTGCCCCCACATGGTCGTGCTCCCTTGTCAGAGCTGGTGGGCTGGCGCTGCCTGGCTGGCCTCAGAGGACCCTGGAAGGATTTGGCCACCATTGGCAGGCAGACCTCAGGAATGAGTGTTTTTTCTTTAGCCTCTGACAGATGGGCCGACCACTCTTTCTACCTCACTGTGGAGACGTTCTGATCCCTGGCCAAAGTGTGGAAAGCTGACCCACACTGGTTGAGAGACACCATCCCCCTGCAGCTGGTGGACTCATGGTGGCTCCTGGCATTGGATCCCACTGTAGGCAGGAGGGGTAGCCTTCAGGAGCTAGTGGGGCAGGCCATGTCCTTTCCTACCATCCTGCTCCCCAGACATCTCAGGGCCTTAGTGTCACCACAGGGCCTACAAGCACATTTGCTAGGACTGGTGGGACCCTAGAGAAAGGGACATCTGGGAGTGGCCACAACCCAGGATAGGCACAGGCAAGCTGGGGAGACAAGGATGACAGGCTGAAACCGGTTTGGCTCAGTGGATAGAGCATCGGCCTGCGGACTGGAAGGTCCCGGGTTCGATTCCGGTCAAGGGCATATACCTTGGTTGTGGGCACATCCCCGGTAGGGGGTGTGCAGGAGGCAGCTGATCGATGTTTTTCTCTCACCGATGTTTCTACCTCTTTCCTTTCCTCTCTGTAAAAAATTAAAAAAAAAAAAAAAAAAAAAGGATGACAGGACCCGGGACAGTGATGTCGAACTGAAGGATAGGCAGAGGACACTTGGGGACTTCCCTCCTCGTTGGTGTTGCAATGCCCTTCCTGGGCCTGCTAGTCTGGAAGCTGCTCAGAGTAAGGGGAAACATGGTCTTGGAAATTCCCCTTTGAGGGAGGTGGAGGGGCTGCTTGGAGGACAGGCTGTTTGGTGTCTCCAGGGTCACCCCAGGAAGCCGATGGCTGGCAGGAGGGCAGGGACCCTACTGTGTGCACTTTTGGTGATAGGGTAAGGGACATGAAGCTGGGGCCCCTGCCCTCATGTAGAGTTCCCACTGGATTCACGGGGACAGGGGCCCCTGAGCCTCCCTATAAAGGAGCATCCTCCCACCACACCTCCAAGTCAGGCCCTGCTGCCTCTCTCCTATCCCCTGCCCTGTCCCATCCCCCCAGCTGAAGGCAGTCTCAGAATCTGGTGGCTCCATGGTGACTCACCCTGCTGGAACCTTCCAGCTCCTGGGTGAAGTGGGGCAGGTGGAGGCCACAGCATCAGGTTTAGGATGCTGCCAAGGATGATGTTCCCGCACCCACAGCACAGGGTCATTTTTCTGGCTTGAGATCAAGACCAGGCCACGTAGGGTTGGGAGATAGGCCCCTGGTAAGTTTTAGATGGAAGTTCCTAGAAATGGACCCAATACACTGACAGCACCAGGGTAGGAGTTAACAGAGGTGGCGCCAGGGCTGTTGTGAAGGTCATGCCTTCTTGCACCTTGACTAGGTAGCAGCAGGGCAGCCCCTGGGGCGTCCACTTTTGGATAAGCAACAGTATGCTCCTGGAGTCCCCAACCTGGCGAATGTGATGACCAGGGCTTCACTGAGTCCAGGGCAACGGGAAGAGGGCCCTGTTCTTGTTGGGGGACTTAATTGGCCCCATTGTAGCTCTTCCTAGCAGTGGTGGGCACAGGAAGGCAATTTGAGATTTCAGAGAGGCGCACAGCTTGGCCCTGGGCCTCCCAGCTGAGGTAGGACGCAGGAAGACATAGCAAGCAGGCCCTAACAGCCGGGACGGAGCTGAGAGAAGCTGAGGCTGGGCAGAACTTAGCCCAGGTCACCAGGCCAAGCATTCTCCCACCACACCTTCAGGCCAGGCCAAGCAAATCCCCAGGAAAGGCTCACCCCATTCCCAATACCCAGGCATGCCCCAGGTTGCCAGGACAACAATGGAAGCTAATGAGAGGTTGCCATAGCACCAAGGGTTTGTACCAGCCAGGCACTCAGCAGTTAGTCTCTGCTCTCTTGCACCACCTGGGACTGGCTTCCTCTGTTTGTGTCTGGTGAGGGGAACTTCCTCTGTCTGTGTCTTTGGCCCCTGCCCCTCAGCCTGCAGAGTCCATTTTACTCCAGAGACCCTGGGCACACATGGGATTATGAATCAAGAGCCAAGCTGCCTCCTGGCCCTGCCCGCACATCTCAGCCCATGGGTCTGTTCCTTCAGGGAACCCACACTCACCCTGGCCCAGCAGCCCCAACTCCCAGGAGGGCAACCTTCCCTTGGGGAGTGGGGGGGAAACAGCATCAGAAGGCAGAGGAGACGGTAGTCCTGAGGCACCCAGGACCCTGCCTGTCCCTGCAGTGGTAAAGCTGTGGGGGGCAGGAGGCACAGAGCTGCCCCATCTAACCACAGAACAGACACTCCATGCTGGTGGCCTCCTACCCAGTTTCCCCAAAAATAAGACAGTGTCTTATATTAATTTCTTCTCCCAAAGTTGCGCTAGGTCTTATTTTCAGGGGATGTCTTATCTTTCCATGCGCTAGGTCTTATTTTCGGAGGATGTCTTATTTTCGGGGAAACACGATATTAGCAACAGAGCCAGTGGGGGAGAGGACAGAGGCCTGGGAGCCTCCCACAGCTCCTGTCCTGGTCCGGTTTGTATGTGGTGTGGGAGGATCTTGGCCTGATCCCACGTGGACGCCCTGCCCTGCCTCCCATGTGAGTTGCCAGATCCCCACGCCCAGGTCGACATGGCCACACAGCTTTGGTAAATACCTTTAAGAGAAGTATTTTACAATGGGGTTGCCCTGAGGCTGGGCGTGTAGAATCTAGGGCGCAGCTTGGTCTTGGGTAGCCTCTGTGTGCAGGCAGTGGCTGGGGGCCTGAGCTCCCTGTTGGGGGGAGAGGGAGCTGGGGAATGTAGCCTGTTCCCACCTGGGGGCTCCCCGAGAGCTCCAGCAGGACAGGAGACCTAGACAGACAAGGACAGCAAGGGGACGTTCACCACTGGAGGAAGACCATGCCGGCCAGCACGGCGTAGCCCAGCACGAGGAAGAGGACTTTGAGCAGCCGGTCATTCTTCTCCTCTAGTTCCTTCCCCAGGATCTCAAAGAAGGTCACAAAGAGAAAGGTGCCACCCACCAGACCCTGCAGTAGCACCGAGGCCACACTGCTGGGCACGCCCTGCGCACTCTCGATGCCCAGGCCAATACTGATGCCCAGGGGGATCATGGCGCTCACGGTGACGGCCAGCTTGGCCGCTTCCCTCAGGGGCATGGAGCTCCGGGCCATGTTGATGCCTAGGGCCACAGCTACCAGCGTCTCGTGGATGGCCACACCCACAAACAGGCTCACTACCTTCTCCCCCTCCTCCAGCAGGCCCAGGGCCAGGCCCTCAAAGATGGAATGAGCCGACAGAGCGAAGACCAGGCTGAGGAGGCGGAGGGGGCTGGAGTGTGACAGCTCCTGGACATGCAGCCCGTGGCTGTGGGTGTGAGGCTCCATGTAGATTGCATGGCCCCGCGCGGCCCCCATGAAGGGGCTCTCGTACTCTGAGTCGCTGCCAGCGTCTGAGCCGGCATTGAAGGTCTCCAGGTCGATGAAGGACGGCTTCTCCTTGCGGAAGGTCAGGATGAGCTGCTCCAGGAAGACAGTCATGAAGAAGCCTAACATGACAATGGTCTCTGCCAGTGGGTAGTCAGTGGTGATGTGCCCAAGAGTCAGAACTTTCTGGAGCTGGAGCGGAGGATGTGAGAGAGGGAGGAAGGGACGGGGAGAGCGTGAGAGGGGTTCAGAGGCAACAGGGCTCATCTGACATCACTGTTCAATTAGCAAAGCACAGACATACCCAATTCATGAGAAGTAAAAGGGGAGGTAGTGACGAGCTCATCCTTGATGGATTAAACAAAAATCCTATTATAAAAGGAGGCATGACGCCTCACTGGAGTGAGCTGAATTGTGGCCCCCAAAGATACATCTACCCAGAACCTCAGAATGTGGCCTTATTTAGAAGATGGCTCTTTGTAGATATATGTAAAGTATTAAGGGCTGAATTGTGTCCTCCCCCAAAATAAAAATTCATATATTCAAATCTCTAAGCCCCTAATACCTCAAAACCAACCATATTAGGAGAGAGTCTCTTGAAAGAGGCGATTCAGTTAAAATGGGGCTGGTGGGTGGGCCCTACTCCAAGAAAAAGAAGAGACACCAGGACCACAAAGAGGCAGAAAAGGGAGGCCCGAGCAGGACCCAGCCCTGCCAGCACCCTGAGTTCAGACTTCCAGCCCCCAGCCCTGGCAGAGAATAAGTGTTGTTTGAGCCACCCCATCTGTGGTACTTTGTTTTGCCACTCCAAGAAACTCGTACATAAGATCCTGAGATGAGGTCATCCTGGGTTACAGCAGGCTCTTAATCCAATGACAGGCGTCCTTATGAGACAGAGGTGACAGACACACACGCAGATGCTCCATGTGATGACGCAGCCAGAGAGAAGGGGTGACGTGTCGGAAGCCAGGGATTGCCGGCCACCATCAGAAGTGGAGAGAAAGCATGGAGCAGATTCCCCCTCAGGGCTTCAAAAGGACCCAGCCCTGCTGTCACCTTAATCTAAGACTTCCGGCCTTCACTGCTGTGATATAAACCAGCCTTTCTGGCCCCAATACCCGCGTGGGGTTTGCTTCCATATAATCCAGATGGGGCTCTGTTCCCATTACTCCAGCCTCTTGGGTAAAGGCTTGTCAGCACATTCAGACACCCATCAGATCCCTTGAGTCAGCACCATTCAATAGAATGTTCTAGATATGCTTTCTTTTTTTTTCTTTTTTTCTTTTTTTTAATTAATTAATTAATTTATTTTTTACATATTTTAATGCTTTTTTTTTGCCCCCCTCCCTCCCTCCCCCATAGATATGCTTTCTATCTGTGCTAATATGGGAGCCACTAGCTGTGTGTAAGGACTAGAAACATGGCTGGCACAGCTGAGGACTGACATATTGAATTGTACTTCATTGTAATTCACTGAAACTTGACTATCCAGCCATGCCAAGCAGCTGTCACACTGGACAATGCAGTTTTAGACTCTGTCCATCAAAGCGGGCTGTGGGCCCCTCGAAGCACGGGTTAATTTCCCCGGATTTGTAAGGGTGCTTGCACACACTGAGCTCTTTCCAGCCCTGGGGCTGTGCCATCGGCTCTGTCCAACATGTTTCTCCTTCAGTTTTACTCGCAGCTAATGGATGCTCATGCTTTGGGTCTTGGCTTACATATAATTTCCAAGTCCTTGACCTAAACCAGGTACCCCAATCTCTGCTTACTGCCCCAATCTCTTCTTTCCCTCACAACCTTCATTACAACCTGTGATTGTCCATGCACATTCACACACACAAACAGACTTCTCAACTGGGTCGATCCTGCTCTCAAGGGAGAAGCACAATGTGGGGAGACATTTTTGTTGTCATAACTTGTTGGGGGAGGTGTTGACGTTGGGCAGGGTCATTCTCTGTGGGGGTCATCATGGGCACTGTGGGGTGGTAAGCAGCATCCTTGACGCCCATTCACTTGAAGCCAGGAATACCTCCAGTCATGACAACCATAGATGTCCTAGACATGGCCCCATATTCCTTGTGAGCAGTCACCCCTGGATGGGAACCCCTACTGCAGAGAAGCTATTTCATTCATTTGCTAAATGTCTCATGGAGACCTGCGTGTGCCTCACTGGGGGAAAGACCAGCTCACGATAAACACAAACTACACCCAGAGGGATAAACATGGATTGGAAAAGACAAGACAGACACACAAAAGCCACAGCTTGTGGCACGACTAGGCACGGGCTGGGAGGGACCTGAGCTGATTAGGCGTGGGAAGTCTGTGGGCAGGGATGAAGCACAGGCGTGGTTTCTGGAGGACCCTGAAAGGCCCAGGTGCACCGAAGGGGGATAGAGAAGAGTGAGGCCATTACAGTAGGCCAGATGTGAAGAAGGAGGATGAGAAGGGTGATACAGTAGGAACACAAGAAATGGGGGCAATTCTGAAAGTGGTACTGAGGGTGCAGAAGCCGTCAGACAAGACTCTAATTTAACCTCATCTATGCCAACTGTATGACTATCCTGTGCTGTGTAATGAAGGAACATAAGTTTAACAGTATAAAGTAACACAAAAGCGTCATCTCACAGATCTGAATGTCAGAAATCCAGGCACAGGTTGCAACTTGAGGATGAAGCAAGAAGCCATGATGGGGAGGCCCATGGGACAAGGGACTGAGGGCAGCTCTCAGCCAGCAGTCAGAAAGAAACTAGGTCTTGAGTCTGACAACCCACCTTACAACTACATTAGCTTAGAAATTGACCCATCCCTAGTAGAACCCTGAGATGAGATCTCAGCCCAGTAGACACCTCAATCGTTGCCTCCTGAGAACCTGGAGATGACCCAACTAAGCAGTGTCCAACCCTTGACCCAAAGAAACTGTGAGTAATAAATGTGTGTTGTTTTAAGATGTTACATTTGTTATCATTTGTTCCGCAGCAGTAGTTGACTAATACAGGAGTTGAAGAGAGGCCACAACTACCAACTTCTGTACAAAGTGTATGCTCCCAGGGATGGAGGGTCTGGTTAAGTAACAACTAATGAGCCCACCAGTTAGGAGCCCCAGGTCTAATCTAAACCCCTTATTTACCAGGGAAGGCTTAGAGAAGAAACGCAACCAACGCATGGTCACACAGCAAATTCATTTTCTACTTTCCATCACCCTTAGGTGTAAAAGCTCCCACCACATTCAGGGTCAGAGCTGAAAAAGCACCAGAGAGCCTTGGCATTGTATGGCTGAGATCATCCAGGGAGCTCTTACCTTTTCCCTTACAGCAGGCAGTAAAGCATTGAAGCAGGTGGCCAGAAAGACCCCACCTCCAAAGGTGTTGCAGAGCGAGAGGATCTTTTTTGAGCGGTGGGCCTTCTCAAAATCGGATTCGATGATCTTCACGGGGAGCAGGGAACCCAGCAGCATAAAGAAGAACACGCCCACCATGCAAAGAATCTTGACCACCAACAGCTTCACCATGGTGACAGCCTGGGCTGCTCTGGTCCTCGTAGGGCCAAACCATGTGTGGATGCACGCTCCCGTCCCACGATGTGCTACCAGGGGCTCATGCCTCAGTCCAGTCACTGTAAACACCAGGGACAATCACATCAGCCATTGGATTATCTGACCAGATCTAGTGACCAAGCCCACCCTGCCTTCCTCCCCCTCATACTTCACCCCACTCCAGGCCTGGCACACATCCCTGCCTCCTGCATAAACTTATCCATGGCTGCGATGTCCAGTACAGCAATCACTCGCCACATGCGTCTGTTTACGTTAAAAGTAAAGAAAACGTAAAATTCAGCCCCTCAGCTGAACTACCTGTATTTCAGGTGCTCAGGAACCATGCGAGTCTAATGACACCACATTGGACAGCACAGAGAATGTCTCCATTGTTGCAGAATGTTCTATCAGGTGGTGGTGTTCCATTGGTTCCCTATAGACCTCACGTAAAATCCCAATGCTCTGCCCTGAGGGGAAGGCTCCAGGCCATCGGCTCCTGCTTCACTGCACTCCCTCTGGCCTTTGTGGTCCCCACTTGTGCCAAGTCCACTCTTGTCTCGGGGCCTTTGCGTGGCTTGTACTACTCTCAGGCTGGAACATGTCTCTCTATGACCTTCCAATGACATCTTGTCTTTCAAGTCACTACTTCCAGGACCCCTGGCAACTTCCACCCGAACGGTGTCCCCTGTACCTACCCAGATGCCTGGTGCACAACAGAGATTCAGGAACAGCTGGCCGAGCAAATGGATGTGCTGAAGCATGTGGCCTTCTTTACATGACTCAATGAGCCAGTGTGGAGCAGGTTTCCCTCTGGACCTGAAAATGTCACCGTTAGCCTGAGGGACCTTGGCTGCTCCCTGTCCACGCCCAACCTCCCAGTTCTCACTGCCCAACTCCCCCACTTCAGTGAGCTCTTCAGGTCTCAGCTCAGATGCCATCAGAAGGAGGTCTCTCCCATCCCACTGCCTGGCATTTTTCTGGCATTATATGTGCTACAGAGAACTACAAATTTAAGTCCCGGAATGTCCGCACTGGCCCTCGTCTGCGACATCTGTGGGGACAGCGGTTCTGTTTTCCCAGCCCAAAGCCAGGTACACAGTAGGCGGCCAACAAATAAGTGCTAGGAGTCCCCAGGCCCCAGTCTGTGGAGTGGGGGTGAGGGTGGCCTTGGCGCTCTCAAAGCGAGGACTGAGCGGAGAACCGGACGACTCATTCATTTATTTAGCACGTACTGAGCGCCTTCAGTATGCCCCGCGAGGCACCAGGCGCCCCTCAGAGGAGGACAGGGCTCACACGGCCCCTCCCCAGAGGGGACAACTCACGCTCTGCAGGTGGAACCACCGCAAATCACACAGATCTCGCCAATAAAGAGCAGACGCCTTAAGGGCCTGGGTTAACGGGCTGCAGTTTCCGCCAGGGCCCAGCCCCGCCCCCAGGCCGTGGTCCTACCCCGGCCCAGCCCCGGCCCCCGGCCCGGGCCCACACATACCTGCGAAAGGCCCGCCCCGCCAGAGCCTCCGGCCGCTCAAAGGTAGCGCGGTCCAGACCCTACAGCGGCGCCCCAGGTGGAGGCTCGGGTCGGGCGAGGAGCAGTTCACGCCCCGCCTACACCCCTGCCTATTGGCCTTCCCAAGCACCGCGGGCCTAGATATCCCATTAATTGGCTGCAATGCCTGCCACTCATTCTGAGACTCCGCCTCTCCTACCAACGCGGAAAAGTAGTTTCCTAGCTAAAGCGGTAGGTACAGCCCCGGGCAGCTCCGGCGGGAAACTACAACCCCAATAGAACGGTTCCGGTAGGGTTTGGCTTCCAGAGCTGTCCAGGGGCACTTGGTGCTGAATCCCGCTCAGATTGAGCCTTGGCCACCTGCGGGACACGATTTCCTACAGGAGGCTGTCTCTCCCCGAGTGGCCTCGCTGCTGATGCCCTTTTTGTAGGCATAAGAAGCAGATTTAGGGGACTCTCTCCCTCTCCCACATGGGAGTCTGTACTGTGAGATTCTCCCATTCCCCACGTGGGAACTTGTACTTGCTCTTCAATAAATGTCCATCTTTGCTAATAAAAAATAAGAAGAAGGCCGAGACCGGTTTGGCTCAATGGATAGAGCATTGGCCTTTGAACTGAAAGGTCCCAGGTTCGATTCCGGTCAAGGGCATGTACTTTGGTTGCAGGTACATCATCAGTAGGGGGTGTGCAGGAAGCAGCTGATCGATGATTCTCTTTCATCATCGATGTTTCTAACTTTCTATCCTTCCTCTCTAATAAAAATATTTTTTAAAATCAATGTTAATCAGCTTAACAATAACCCACAACCTTCGGACCAACTAAAATATTTTTTAAAATCAATTAAATATATATATATATATATATATATATATATATATATATATATATATATATATATATATATATATATATAGAAGGAGGAGGAGGAGAAGATTTATTGATTCAACATCTCTGCTATGTGCCAGGACCTTTCCTAGAACATCTATGAGCAAAATAAAGATCTCCCTTTTGGAGCTTACATTCTAGGAGAAGACAAGGAAAATAATGGATAAACAAAACAAATGGAATTATATCAGAAGGTGACAAGTGCCCTAGAATAATAGAGCCTAGTAAGGGTGGTGGATTTCTACTTAGAAGAAGATGCCATAAATAGATATTTGAGCAAAAACTTGAAGATGAAGAAGTTAGTTAAGAGGATAATAGCATTTCACATAGACATACACATTTAGGCAGGAGTGTATAAGAATGCCAGTGTGGCCAAAACACAGTGAGGTGGGGAAGTGTATTTGGAGATAAAAAGAAGGCCTTAAATGATATTAAAAGGACTTTGAGAGAAATTAGAGAATCACTGTAGAGTTTTGATCAGAGATGTGACAGATCTGACATTTTTTTGTTGTTGTTTATCCTCACCCAAGGATATTTTTTCATTGATTTTAAGAGAGAGGAGAGGAGAGAGGGAAAGACAGAGAGAAAAACATCAATGTGAGAGAAACACATCGATTGGTTGCCTCCTGCACAATCCCTGACCAAGGTTTGGGCTGGAAAGGAGCTTGCAACGAAAGTATCATGTCCTTGACTGGAATCAAACCCAGGACCCTTTGATCTGCAGGCTGACATTCTATCCGCTGAGCCAAACTGGGACATATTTATTTTTAAAGATATATTTCCATTGTTTTATTGATTCTTTTAAGAGAGATAATCAGGGAGAGGGAGAAAGAAACAAGTGGCTGCCTCCTGCATGCCTACTACCGGGGATTGGATCTGAAACCCGGGCATGTCCCCTTTTTAGGAATCGAACCAGTGACTTCTCTGTGCATGGGACAAGACTCATCCAAGTGAGTCACACAGATATATTTTTTAAAATATATTTTTATTTATTTCAGAGAGGAAGAGAGGGGGAGAGATAGAAACATCAATGATGAGAGCGAATCGTTGAATGTCTGCTCCTGTACACTCCCTACTGGGGATTGAGCCTGCACCCCAGACATTAGGCCTCCTTGTCCTCCCAGTCTCTGGCACCCAATATCTACTTTCTGTCTCTATGAATCTGACTCCTCCCCATACAGTACTTGACTTTCTGTGTCTGACTTATTTCATTGAGCATAATTTCCTCAAGTTTCATTCATGTTGTAGCATTATCCATCTTATTCTTAGTATCTTTTCCCATGGCTGGCTCAGGGTAAGCTGAATATAAGATTTTAGTTAACAAATGAATGCAATTATCTTTTTCATAAGTCTGGTAACTTTTATAAAAGGAAGTAAAGCAACATTTGTTTTTCAACATTCCATTCTTTTCATCTAGAAAATGTTAATAGTCAGTCAATTCACAGTCTTCATCTGACTTGACCTATTGGCAGCTGTGACACAATAACCAAATGATTCTGTTAAAATATGTTGAATCTGTCTGGCGGGCATGGCTCAGTGGTTGAGCATAGACCTATGAACCAAGAGGTTATGGTTTGATTCCAGGTCAGGGCACATGCCTAGTTTGAGGGTTTTATCCCCAGTAAGGGACATGTAGGAGGCAGCCAATCAATGATTCTCTCTCATCATTGATGCTCTCTACCTCTCCCTTCCTCTCTGAAATCAATAAAAATATATTTTAAAAACTATAAAAATAAAATAAACAGATGAAGGTCATCATCCAATTTATGTTTTAAGGTTATTGTGACCTCTTTGTAAAGAAAGACTGAATTGTAGGGGAGCCAGCGTAAAAGCAGGAAGACCCATTAAAAATCACATGGGCAAGAATGGAAGTTAGTTTAGATGAAGGCATTGTCAAGGGTGGGTGAATTTGAGAAATACCTTGGAGGGTGAATTGACAGGACTTGGCCCTGGTTTGCCTGGGTGGGCTGCAATGGGGGAGGTGTCAGAGTGACTGCTGGTGTTGTTCACTAAAATAGGAATGACTGGCAGAGGTACAGAGATTGGAGGTGTCAAAAGACAGTTCGGTTTTGCAGAAGTAAAGTATGTGATAGCTGTGAGCTTTTAATATTGGATGCCACTCTCCGCCTGCTTTATGATTAGCATGCAATAGGTGGTAGCCATTTTTATTAGTAGACACAAAGTGCCTTGACTTTTTTTTTCTGGTTTCCATCATTCACAACAACAAAAATAATCCCTTGTAATACTAGCACACCAAGTAAATGCCCACAGGATGACTCCTTCCTATAGAATTCAGGAGGTGCAATATTTATTCATGATTAGAGAGCCAGGCTGCTCAGAGAAGAAGCTGCATAAGTGTTTGGTTTTTATTCATTCAAGACATATTTTTGAAAGAGTCCTAGGCTCCAAGACTTGTGTATGGGATGGTATGATAGAAAAACTACCAACAATTTGACTGTGTGAGTATTTAAAAATTTTTCCACAGTGAAAGACACATGAACAGGCTTAAGAAATAAGTGACAGCCCTGGCCAGGTAGCTCAGTTGGTTAGAGCATGGGAGTAATTTATATTTTTGTCAAATATATTACAAATGTAAAACACAAAACTAACCCACTCAATGGCTCACTTTTGTTTTATATTTCATTGATTTTCTTTTCTTTTCTTTTTTTAGAGAGAGAGGAAGGGAAAGGGAGAGATAAAGACATCAATGAGAGAAACATCATTGATGGGCTATCTCCTGCATAATCCCTACTGGGGATCAAACCTGCAACCCAGGCATATACCCTGACAGGGAATCAAACCAATGACCTCTTGGTGCATGGGATGATGCTCAATCCACTTTTTAAAAATTGAAATTATTGGGGTAACATTGCTTAATAAAATTATATAGGTTTCAGCCGAAACCGGTTTGGCTCAGTGGTAGAGCATCTGTCTGCAGACTGAAAGGCCCCAGGTTTGATTCTGGTCAAGGGCATGTACGTTGGCTGCGGGCACATCCCCGGAGGTGGGTGTGAAGGAGGCGGCTGGTCAATGTTTCTCTCTCATCAACATTTCTGGCTATCTGACTCCCTTCCTCTCTGTAAAAAATCAATAAAATATATATTTTAAAAATTATATAGGTTTCAGGTATACAATTCTACAACACCTCATCTGTATATTGTATTGTGTTTACCACCCCAAGTCAAGTCTCCTTCCATTACCATTTAGCCCTCCTTTATCCTATTCTATCTCCCCCAAGCTGCCTTCCCTCACTTTTAGTGCATTCAATTTGTTGATTTCAGAGAGGAAGGGAGAGGGAGAGATAGAAACATCAATGATGAAAGAGAATAATTGATCGGCTGCCTCCTGCATACCCCCACTGGGGATGGAACCCATAACCTGGGCATGTGCCCTTGACCAGAATCAAACCCAGGACCTTTGAGTCTGCAGGCTGAGCCAAACCAGGTAGGGTCTATTTGTTGAATTTTAAAAAAAATGGTTAGAGCTTGAATTAGTCAGGGTCCCAGAGAAACAGAATAAGGAAAATAGATGATAGATTTACTTTAAGGAATTGGTTCATATGGTCTTGGGGGCTGGCAAATCTGAACTTTAGAGGACATACCGGCAGGCTGAAGCCTCAAGAAGAGTGGATGTTGCAGCTCCAGTCTAGATGCAGAATCCTCTCTTCTTTGAAGAGAACTTCAGTCTTTTCTCTTGAAGCCTTCAACTGATTAGATGCAGTCCACCTACGTAATAGAGGCTAATCTTCTCTACTCAAAGTCGACTCATTTCAATGTTAATTTCCTCTAAAACACCTTCCTGGCAATATCTAGACTGGATTTTGACCAAATATCTGATAATGTAACCTAGCCAAGTAGACATATAAAATTAACCATCAGTGCTTTGTGTTCTCAAGAAAGTTTGTCTATCCCAAATCATGTATTTTCTTCTACAATCTTTATAGCTTTGTCTTTAATAGCTTCCATTTGTGTACATTTCAAAATCAGACAAAACTAACCTGCAGCATAGAACACTGGGGCAGCTGCCCTTTGGGGTGGTAATGACTGGAGGGGCCATGACAGGGGCTGGTCAGGTTCTGTTCTTGGTCTGGGTGCTCATGACATGGGTTTGTTCCCTTTGTGGAAATTCATCGAGCTGTTTGCTTATAATGTGTGCACTTTCATGTATGCATGTTACATTTTGATAAAATTAAGCACAATAATTAAAAAGAATACAGAACAGACTCCCCAAATCTACCAGA